TTCCCCCAAATGGGCTATGGGAAAGTCCCCAGGCTTATTCAAGAAATAGTTCCACAACTCTCTTAAGTAAAACTGGCAGCGTAACCGACCCTACCTGGAGCGCAGCACGAATTCTGCTACTCCCTGCACTAGCTCAATCAAATCAAGGAAACTAGCAATTTCGTTTGCTCTGATTTCGCACACGAGCGCATTAACTATCTCAATGGCGCGACTTAAAGTCCGCCAATATGTAAGAGTAATTGGGCAATCGTTCAGGTCACTTGATTTACGTGACTTTGTACAATTTATATACTTGTTTGTGAATAATTCATCTTTCCTGACTCTGGGAAAAAAATTAACTCTAGCCCTATTTAGCGATAGTTACCGGCGATTATAAAGCAGTCTAAAGAAGTATAATAAGAACATAAGGAGAACTTGAGAAGATCTATATTAGACTGGACCATTTTATTGCAATTTTTTGATTACCTTGCCATGTCTATGGTGGTTAAGATCGAGAAATAGAACGGTAACATAGCAAACAAAACGCTTAACGTGTTTTTTCTGCGAAGTTCGATACACATCAGTGAACACTAAATGAGATGAATTGACTAACACGTCATTGAGTAAATCTGGCTTATTGAGGGTGTGGCAGCATTCGAGTTTCTCACTGGAGAGGCCACATAAGTCCAAACCTCTCCCAAAGATGAGTGGTGAAAAGCCTTACCAAATAGACTCTGGAGTTTGTCATCGAACATTTAGAGATAACAGATTTTTGACATGAGGTGTCACTGAAGTACCTGCGGATATTAATGGGCATAAAAGTGTTTCAATGTTCCCACTACTAAAATCTATGGCCATATATGCTTAATCAAGCGCATTACATATTTAAGTGTCTGTGTTGTTGGACAAATTGGAGTTCCGAGACTGAAATTGGGTACATCTATACACTCGTAGTATTTTGGGGCGCTTCCGGTCTTCACATTGAGAATTTTTTAAATGAGATGTTGCCTCTGGGCCGAATCATCAGGAAGTTTGAAAGGTGAAATAGTCGGGGATGGGTGGTAATATTAGGCGAAATATTAACAACATTTGACTTTTTAATGGCCAACTTTAAGATCGTAATTTACCAGTTCAAAATCCGTTGGGAAGTCTTATTCAATACGTCTAGATATACCCTTTGTTGCCAATTATAAGTTATGAAGGTGCCTAATTAAATGTCACTCTAATATATCACAATCTACCCAATATAGTGAGGTGAGCCACCAAACACGTTGCTACTGAAGATTTGAAAGTAGGTTAGGCTAGTAATTTCGTCAGTTTATCTGGAAAACATGGGCACAGAGTGGACCAATGGGAGGCATGATGTCAAAATATACTCAACCACGCGGTCCTTTGCAGGTCATGCAAAAAATGGTCGTTTCTTTTCGTTTTTGGACTCTTCTACACTCTTGATGCGTTTTTCCGTCATTCATACTCTTATTTACCTCTAAGCTCTTCGTATAATACCTTATCTAAAAATGTCTCTTAGAAATATTAATGCAGACAGTGCCTACTTGGCAACCTGACCAATTGAAAAATAAATAATAAACAGCCTATTAGCTAGTGGGGATTATTTTTCATTTGAAGTATTTGATGACAATAACAAAAAAATTTTATGTCACGTGAAAATGCAAAGACAATGGCGTATAAACACAAAGGGACAATATGTAGGATGTATTTAATAAAGAAAAAATTGTGCGAACTGGTCGAAAATATAGTACTTAACTTATGGATGCAAGAACTGACGGAAATATCCAATCATATGCGCTATTTCAAACAGATGCTTGTTACAAGTATGTTCAACCTATCGTTATCGATAAAACAAAGATAATAAAGAACTATCCTTAACCGGAAAAGCGGATACATAGACATAGCTAAGAAGCATTTTTTTGGAGAAGTAGCAGGGACATTTGGTTTATGGATGCGACATTTTGACCTTTCCAGTACTCAATTCAAAGGACAATGTTCTATTGCTTTTCCAAAAGATTCCTTAAAATGACCTCAGTTGATTTTTGAAGTCAGCACCGAGGATGGTACTCAAACACTTTTATCCCCTATAAGACTCTAAAGCCCGAGGAACAATAGCCATTATTAGCGAAGAAGCGAGTCAATATTTTGCGTAGCTTTATCTGTGCCAGCTCAGTCGAATCAAAGATGAATTCTATTGCTACTGCAGGCAAGTTTTGGCATTCTAATTTTCATTAAATAAGTGTTTGAATATGAAGTATAGATACAAATAACAACCATTCGAATGCATCTAACACTTGAATTCACTTTTATAGTGGATGAAAATCAAACCCAATGAATGCGGTATATTAATAGTATTTACCTATAACACACCCAGACACGCAATAGTAAAATTCGATAGATAAATTGAATAATTCCAACATTGAACAACTTTCTCATCACTTAAAACAGAGCGCTGGGTTCTGTATCCCTTATGGAAACAGCAATAATTAATTGGAAACAATAAAACTTAAGATACACGCGCTTTAAATATAAACAGAAACGGATAAACACAAGGCATACAGAAAAAGGGCTTTAAAAGAGGGAGAAAAGGTACAGAGAGGGAGCAAAAATTGAGGTCTGTTAGAAGCTCCAGCAGCAATTGTGGGAACAAAAGGGACAAAAAAGTAGTGTGAATCATTCACCAAACGGTAAATGTGAATCACATCAACATTGCGTAGTCTTGATGACTCGACAGACTGCCTGCATGTGTACATACAACGTATTTGCCTTCCCTCTTTCTCTCTGTCTACGCCTCGGAAGTACAGTAAGAAAAATACGATAGGCAATCGACCAACATTGCAACTGCAGAGGTAATGTGATTTATCGACTTTATTTTCGCATTTTGTCAAGTGCGTGTGAGTCAGCGCACACTTGCGCGTAATTCCAAGCATAACTTGACCGAGCAGTTAATGTCAAAAAATTACAATTCAATTATGCTACTAGTAGACTGAATTACCTATTTAAGTAATAGTGCTCTTCCCATCTGCTGATTTGAGCACATGCCAATCAGCAGCATTATTAACAGTATTGAATAGATCTGCGAAACTTTGACCATGCATTATTTGAGTGTGATGAACAGTTTCTGAGTCACATAGCTATGAATTTTGAATGAAAAAGTGCTTACACTTTATTTAACAAATAGAACATTTTAGGCTTGAAAGTTATTATTTTTCCCCAAACTGGGAGCAACGTAGAGTGTATAGCACTAAATTGAGTTTTCCATAAAAGTACACAAGGTCATGGATTTAGTAAATTAAAATGACAGCTCTTCAACCTTTACAATTTAAGTAATACTTACGTCTACCAATTATTTCAATTTGACGAAGAGTACCGTTAGGGGGTAGGTGACAAATCATAAAGCATCAAGAATGGGAAATACGCAATCCCGAAGTAAGTCGATAATCTTTGAAAATACCAATTTAAATTACCGAACTCATTTTAATGCACTTTTGAGCACATATACTTATGCATTATATCTATTCAGCTGCTCTTAAAGGCCAGCCGAAAACAGCAATCACTCTAAAAGCAGAAGAACGAGAATTGGGAAGAGATTCGTAGGGGGAAAGGGTATAGATAGACGGAAATAGAGAGCTGAATGACAACACAGCGAGCGTGACAACACAACGGAGTAAAATTTCAAGTTAACTAGTCTAGCCTGACTTACGCAACACGCAGCAATCTGCAAGTAAAGCATACTAACGTCATGTTGATGTGACACAATTGGGTCGAGCAAAACTATGCACGAATTAAAGGGATAATGATGAAACTATACTTAATTTCTGTAGAAACATGACAAAAATAAGAGATAGTTTAGCTTTAACCATCTTTCAAAATATACGAGTTAGCTAGGGTCTCAAGTTAGATTAAGAAAAAACTACGACCTCTCAAAGGGAAAGATGAGAGATTTTACCAAAGTTTGTCGATTTCGTAAGGACAAGTTAAGACGACCTAGGTTATAAAAACATTGTACTAAAATTATTTAAGTAGCATATATATCAATTCACACATTTGAATACTACTTTTCTGGTCGCGTTAATGATGTTCAAGAAGCTGATCTCATAACCTAAAAACGCATATTTCTGGGGGTATACTTCATACTCATGGTCGTACTAGCTGTTGACGATCGAAACAATGATCCACAAATAGCCAAATCACATATGCCATAGTGTAAGTCAAAATAAAAGCCAGTATACAAAGCATTCCCCCGCTGACCTATTCAAGGTGGTCAAAATAACGTTAAAACTAAGAAGCTTTAAATCTAAGTTGCGATTACCATAAAAGAAAAATCAGATATCATTAATCTAGAACAATTGAAGTTCCACCGTGATCTTTCCAGTGAAACAATTTGCTTATTAAGTAATAACATTACTAATCTACTAATTAGTAATGATCTAGTGCTTAATAAGGCAAATTATATCCACACAGTCAATAAAGGTCAAGCAAGTAAGCTTGGATGGTGCACTCGAGTGCAATTAAATTACGTCATGAGTCAGAATATTTGTAGAATAACTTATTGACGTTTGCTAAATGATACTTTCAAGATACCGCAAACACCTTTTAATGAGTTTGTGCCCCTTCCCGATAAAGGAGTCGACCACTTCCAGCAAAATTCATGGAAAATCCATGGACAGAACTCGTTCTTCTCCTTCGAAGAACCCCAAATTGTAAGTTCATATTGAACATCCTAGAACCTGAGGAGAATCTTTCACCTTAAAACTCAACTCTCGACCCGTTTTAATGAATACACTTAGTCGTGACTTGTGACATCTAACTCGCACACCTACATGTTGACTGATACGATATAAAGGAATGAGTAGTGAAAAACCTCTGTAGTCTACTTTCGACAAACTGTATATTGAATTACAACACAGATAAGCACACAATTACCACTCAGTACATTTTAAAGAAACAAAAAATTAGCTCTAAGCAAAATATTTATTTAAGGGCATATATACATATACAGGGCAACTTTTCTATATTTTGGGGGCACCAAGGGCCATAGGTAATTTCTCGATGGTCAGCCGATGATTGTGGATGTACATGATGGGAACGCCAGTGATTTTACGGATGCGCCGGCGTAGATCTCGATCACAAGTGGCAACGATGTAGCATCGTAGTTGACTTCTTTCAACAAGGCAGTCATCTGCATAGGTACCCCTGTGTTGGCAGGTCAAACGCTGAATACGCTTGTCACGGAGGATTCTAGAGGGAAGGAAGAATAAGATTAAGCTTAAAAGAGCCTGAGAAAGTAGAATAGTAAAAAACCATACAGTGGATACACACCAATGACCTCAAGTTTGTAAATGCACACATTGATAACCCGCTACGTGGGGTGCGCGATAGACTTACCTCCACGTGGTGCATACTGGGCAACGTATACTCATACGGCAAAAAAGTTTATTATTCGGCAGTTGACTTCTGACTTCAAACTACTATGACCCCACTGTATGTTAAATTCGACCACTTCAACAGTACTCATCTTACCTTTTCTCTGCCTTTTTGTCTGTCTCTGTTACATCTGTGAATCATAATTCGTTCCCACCCCCCTCTGTGAAGTCCAAAGTCAGCTAAAGGGCTAATGATGACTATCAATATGCCTGCCATTTGAAATAAATAAATAAATAACCCGCAACGATGCCCATTAATAGCAAAACAGATAGCGGAATGTACAATTACAAAGTACATACAATAAGAGACAAATGACATCTTCATAAAGAAAATAGAAGTCATATAAATTTCTAAATTATGACCAGAGTCGAGTGAGAGGCGTAGCGAATGAGTTAGTAAACAACAGTAAAGCTTCATTAGTTGCGAATATCCCTCAAGGGGTTTAAAAAAACACAAGACGAAAGGTTTTAGGAGTAGAATTTGACCACGGCTTGGTTAACATTCGCTATCATTATTTAGAAATCAAAAATATTTTACGAAGCTTGGAAGCAAAAAAAATTCAAACGACAGTCTGGCCAAGATGAAAGAAATTTTCACGCAAACACTTGCTGTGAATTAATGAATAATCAGCGTTACCAATCGTAATATTCGACATTCAATGCCTTAACTAAAAGGAAAATATTAATTTTCCTACCAACATTTACACGGGCCTCATTTAACTTGTCAGCCTGGTAACTAAAGTACGGCCGAAATTGACAGGGAGGTAAGACACAAATGGTTCATTGAATTGAAGTAATAATTGAGAAGAAAAAAACCGAGTTTACAATTAAAACCAGACCTCTTTCTTGCACCGATGGAATGGGTGGTCAGTTAACTGGATGAAATTGATAAGTAGTAATCGAGAAGGAAACCCCATTAGATTCAAAAATTATAAAAGAAAAGTAAAAGCAGTTGAAATGCTCCCTGATAAATCCAAATACATGAAATGTGATACGAAAAGATCAAGGAAATACAGTATATTATATTTTCGTAAAATAGATCTTTACCTAACTGCATGAAGCCTTGACAGTTAGACAGAAGTCGACGTTAAGCAAAACGCACGAGTAGCGTATAGGATTTATATAAAAAAATCATTAACGACGAAAGTATTATTATCATATCAAGTGGCTGGGTTTATGGCACTTATCATTAGTTAATTTAATAAAAGGGAAGTTGGAACAAGGCAATACAGAAGTAAAGCTAAAAACACAAGTCAGAGATGAACTTACCTTAAAGCAACACGGTATCTCTCCGGCATTTTCTCAATTTCACCCATAACACAGTCGGTTACGTAAAGGAAGCCTAAAGATAATGGAGATGGGGATAAAAAAGCTAATAAAACTCACAATTAGCAAGTAGACAATCCATGGTTGCTCGAAATATATCAAGCCTATTCTTGATAGCGAAATTAACGAAGTTAGTGTCAAGAAGGATATGATAGGGAGGACCAAGAGCTTCATTGTAGGAATCTTTAAGACAAGTTATTCGTTCGTTTCGATTCCGTGAAACTTGCTTTACATTCTCAGCATTGACTTTCTTTGCCTCCTTTAGCTTTTCACGATCTAGCTTTTTTCTATAAATTTGCTATAAATGTGAAGCTTTAAGTTTACATTCTGCCATCCTTCAAATTTAGAGTTTTCTTCATGACAGCAAACTTGCGGGTCTGTTTTCGCTTTCCCATTTGAAATAAACCTAAAAAAATCAAATTAATCTAATAATTAATCGATATAAATAAGAAATATAGCTAGCCAAAGATTTAGAATACTGAACCACCTGCAAAAAGTCACCACGAGAATGTACGTATTCGGTGCGCCCGATTGAAATAAATTAAACAAAATTTTTAATCTTAAATAGAGTTATAGATTATAGTTCTTAAACTTTCAAAATATTTTGTAATAAATCATATGGTTTGTGTAAAGACATAATCATGTTTTAAATATTTTAAAATGAAGATATACGTAAGATATTACATATTTTAATTAGTGTAAAACCATTGAAAATAAAAGATAAAAAATATTGCTAACTATTTATTATGCAATATTCAAATTTCTTAATCCTTATTTTTGACCTAATGTGATTTTTGTCTATACCTTATGGTTTTATCTGTGAGTTTTTTGTTTTAACATCTTTGAGATCTATTATTCATATATTTCGGTATTAGTGTCGATGTACAGTTTATTAATAATTTAATTTTATATAGTACTTCGCTTTTTTATTAAATGGACAAAAGAGACGTACTGCGAGAACAACGGCGCATATTAGACGTTGATGCCAGAAAGCGTCGTCTCCGTAAAGCCCTTGAAATTCTTGAACAGGACAATCTTGTCGAAGAGTCTCAAAATGAGTCGAAGTCAACGAAACGTCCCAAATTTGAAGATGTAAGTACCCACTTACATTGATTTTCGCTCTCGCTTGTTCTGGTCCCATGAATACAAATTTTACTCTTTAGGATGGACCTGGCCACGGGAAACGACGTCGCAAAACTACTATAAGTCGTGCTAAGTTTAAGAAAACGTTTGACCTTCTTCTAGATGAAGAATACCAAGCTACTAAAGGTGGTCAAATTGGAACTTCTTATTTCACTGCAGCTGTGCCGGACTCACGATTACCTCCTCGTAAATTCTGCTCAGTTTGTGGTTTTATTGGATCCTATGTTTGCGTATCTTGCGGTTCGCGCTACTGTTCTCTCAAGTGCCGTGATGTCCACAACGATACTAGATGTCTTAAGTGGGTGGCATAGGTTTTGAGATTTATATTTTCTATTATCTAAATAACCACTTATTGCTCAGTGTGTTCTTATTTTTAAATATAATGTATTACAATGTACGACTGTGGTCATATTTTCGTTTATTTTAAATAGCAGTGGTCTTTGTGATATGCTTTGTGCTATTACCTTATAACTGAGTTACTCGTTTGGCAAATTCATCTATTTGGTGTATATTATTGAGCTTCCACTTCAATTCCGTGTGCTATTATTCCGGAACCTTTATTCGATATTAAAAATTGCTCTCGGTGTGCACATGATGCCAAATTGCTTATTGCTCTTATCCCTACCCGTATAGTAAGCTTTGCTACTGAACTTTTTTCGTCCCATTGTAATTGAAGGACATTTCATGAGGGGGAAGCAGATTTCTGTCTATCTTGATTTTTCATCAATTGCATTTTTTCCTTTCATGCTTACACGTCGGACTAAGATTTCTGACCAAGTCTTCATATAATATTTCCTTAAAGCAGAGCTATATATATATATATATATATATATATATATATTGAAGCATGCATTTTCACTTAACCGAATTTCATATTTATCAACATACCAATGCAATTCCTGACCTCATTTAGGAAAGCCTTTTCATAATTGGACCTCCCTATTGAGAGACACGAATTCTACCAAAACCTCTTTTAGCTCATATTAATCATTGCAACTGGCTTTTCCACTAGCAGGTGTATATTGTTGAGAATTCGACTCGTAAACTTTGACTATGCATTCGAATTTCCTTTGCAGAAGCTATTTCTTAAATACTCATCTGGTAATAGTGCTTGTCTTTCACTTAAATGTTTGAATAATTGCCCCTGGTTTAGTGCTAGTCTGCATTTTCATGAAATTTTTCATTCATATAAAATGTCTCTACCCTTTCAAATATTCTTACTACTATTTGGGGGTGTTTTCCAGAAGCATATGTTTGCTCTAAAAGCCTGAATTAGATGTAACTACATGGACAGTGTATGCCAATTCAGAAATCGTGAGATTGACACTAATTGCGAATTGCCCTAATTAATGCAAACTGAAAAGAGAAATGTTATGGGAGTGAATGGGCTGTTTGGACACATGTTTGATGACTTTCCTCTGCTGGAAAAACGCCGAAGGGTCCTAAGAACTTTACTCATATTTGTTAATATTTCATCAAGTGTAGTATAGTAACTGACTAGATGCGGCTATTTCTGCAAGATTGGGTTTAGAAGCCACAATATAATCGTAAAATTACGCCAATTTAAATTAGATATAGGAAGGATCTTTGGCTGTGTTGAATGAATGATTTCGATAATTGCCGGATGCAACGTATCTCTAAATTGGGTTGTAATTTACGGAAAATCTTGTTACCCTCGTGAATGCGCCTTTCCTATTGTGAAACTCTATGGGCATTGTGTGAACGTTTGGTACGTATTTTCCATACTCGGAATTGGTTGTTTCGTACATGGGATTAGTTTGAGGCCTAGAAAATTTACTCAAAATTTCTAAGCATGAAAACAAATTAAATGCAAAAAATTTACTCACCTTCATCATTTCTAATGTTTGAAGGATCTTGCTTAGCAGGCACGGTTTCATTTCCTTCTATTGGCCCTTCTACATCTTGTTGAGATTGGCAATGACAAATATCGAGCCTTCTAAATAATGTGCAATAATGATAATAGTTGAATTCTCATAAGATGTGGTGTTGAATTTAGTGCTTTATCAACGCATACTGTTTACATTGCTTCCTAATTTAATATGAATACATCAAATAAACTAAAAACACAATTTCAGTGATGACATTTATACATGTAAAGTTAACACGAACTTCAAGGACATTTTAGCCATTTACTTTGGCACAATTTGTGTTTCCAAATCTTTTTATTTTCTTTAAAACATTCAAACAATATCATTTTCGCCAAACAATTAAACACTCTTAACATCGAAAGCCAGACATTTTTTATAGCTGTTGGACATTAATGAAATAATATTATTTCGATGATTTTTAGTCCAACTATAAAGATATTCAAAGTGAATTTTTGGAATATTTTCATTACTTAAACTACCTAATTATTATAATTGCCTCAGGAATTCCTTCAAACGTTTTTATTGTAATAAATCCTATTTTCATATATGTTTTTTCGGTGTTTTCTTTTGTTTCATATTCGAATGAGCAAATTTAAATAACATTGATAACAGTTTCATAAATATATTGTTAAAAAATGAATACATTTCATTCATATTTTAGAGAGTGCATCTAAATTAACATCTGTTCATTAGCTACTTAATCTGAATGAAATGTAATGTTAAATCTCACCGTTTGCCAAGGGGAAATATAATGAATAAACAGTTCAAACTCTGTACCTTGAAAGAGTAGTGTAAACAACTTCCATTGGCTTTCACCGAAACACGCTCAATTTAAGAAATAATATACTACGTTTACATAAATAGCTGATTGAATTTGTCTTGTCTGGTTTATGACACGTTTTCTGCAGATTTTACTATTTACAATCCTTTATAGAAACTCAGGCCGATCCCCCAATTGTAGAGTACAGACTACAGATGATAATTCATTAAAAGTGGGGTGACACAAGTAATAAGTATTCTACCTTCTCCTCTGAATTTCATGCAAACTAGACAGAACTGTTTTAAATCAACTCGTTTTATTATAATGGTTATATGTAGATGTTTATAAACAGGTTTAAAGACCACAATCCAATTTAAAACAAATTCAATAAGGACCATAGGTTGGTTAGACTTACTTTGCTTCACTAACGCTGCTCACTTAAAAATTGGGACATAGACTTCCTTTTCAATTTTACTGCCACCATCTCAGTGTTTACGTCTAAAGGTAATTCTGTCCGATGATCGAACCGAATCGAATTAATAAAAGTAACGAGATATTTAATAAGATGAGTAAATGTACTTAGGTATGTAACCAAGTATTTCTTCAGTGTTAATGAAAATTTAATTGATAGCTCTTGCGATACCATAATCTCCTAGTAATATTAATTATAGCTGTCCTATATCATTTTCCATTTCGTAAATTAATTTTGGCTACCTCTTTTTCTGTTCCTGAACTTTTAATTCTTTTTGGAAGGGGCAATGTATAAGAGGCCGATTTGACTATCATCACTTTTGATGTCATAACCGCCTAGTCATTACACTAAGTAATTTCTATCATCAGATATCTACCAGTTTGAATCAATCAATCCGTCAAACACGCTTCTAAAAATCAACTCACCATTATTTACATTAGTTTACAAATATTTCAAGATGTTTTAAGATTACTAATAAAATGCATCTGTTAGATCCCACTAACCTAATTCTGTAATTGATAGCTTCGTAGTAATGAACAGTCTACCCTTTGATTAACCAAAGTTTCTGATAACTATAAGCCATCAAGTTAAATACTGAGAACCTCGAAGGGCAAATTTGGTGAATTAATAGAGGACAAGTTTTAAAATTTTAAGCCACAGTATGAATTTCAACCGAATTATTGCACATCTAAGCGCAATGAAATTGGAAGATTTTTACATCGGTAAAAATTACCTATGTTCTGACACACCTTTAAATGTATTTTTAGTCAGAAAAATAATCCAATTACATTTTACGCGAATCACCATTTCAGTAGACGCACGAAAATCATTATCATAATTTAAGTAAAAGAAACCTTTAATGGGGATATATTAAAATAAAATTTAAAATAAAAACAATCGAATACTTTAAATCAACGGCGAATCAAATTGAGTTAAATTCGATTCATTAAATAATTTATGTTTTCAAAGGAATCATGCTTGTGCAAGCAAAAAAGATGTGCACGCTGCATGGTTTTCATAAGTTCCATGACAATTTAACTCAGTCCAAAGTAATAATCATGACAGTATTCGTGCACAAATTTATTAATGTTATTTTTGCGTTTTCCACTATCATATTTGGCACCTGTCACTGTAGGTGAGTCAAAGCATTATTTCAATTATACTATAATCAAATTTAACTCTATGTGCGTCGGTTGGCTTGATAGTAACGAGGAGGGCTCTTTATTGTTTTATGCAATGAAGAATATTTCCAGATAGATACACCTTTAGCCGAGTTAATATTTTGTTAGCTATCGACAAAAGGGGATTTATAATTTAGTATAACTATAATTTTTTCGAAAATTTAATTGGACCTTTGCTTTCCATTTTTGTAACCACTAAATATAAACTTACAATCTAGTTAATTAAAGATTGAAAAATCATAATTGGACAAAATACGCGTCTCGGGTGTTAAGATCTCACTGTGGCTTATTGGTATTAAATTCCTCGAAAAAGACACATAAACATAATTCTTGAGATATCTGTTGAAAAAAGAAGTGTTTTCTTAATAGATGCTTATTTAGGACTATATTAATGTCATTGCAAAATTAGCGGAATTACCTACTCATGTGAATACTGTTGGACGATGTGATGAAGATTTTTTGTAAAAGTCTAAAATCCATTCTTTAATGCTTCGCCGACACTCTGAGAATGCTATTTGACAATACTACCTTTCCTTCATACATAACCTGGTCGAAATCTAATCACTGCTGACAGCTGAATAGGTATTTTATTTTTTCACTACAAGTGGCTTAAAGTCAATCTCTTAGGTTCTCAAAAAATCCTCTATTAAATCGGAAAAGGGAATTTAAGGGTAGTGGGACCTAACAGACATTTATTGAAAAAAATGGGGGTACAATGAATCCGTCTTTTATTCGCACGGAAAAGTATTAGCAGGAAAAGCAGTGTGTTCTTGGGGAGCAGTGTTTCGAGGTTCAAGTTATGGGCAAAATACAAAAAATTACAATTTGAGAGAAATTGTGCTAAAATAACTTTTTGGACCATGTTCCTAGAACGTTACTAACTCGCGATTTAGAGATATATGCCATAAACATTTATTTGTTTATTTCAAATGGCCTCGGGCTTCACAGAGGGGAGGAACATCAAAGTGCGAAAAATTCAAGAGGGGAAACAGAAAAATAATTCAAGGAT